ATTTATAAGATTTTTACAGCAGTTTTTGCGAAGGTGGCATTTTTCTGCCATAGGAACAAATGTGTACATTTTTTAAAGGAACTCCTAAGGGTTAACTGCATTTTTTGTACAGAATAAGGGCTCTGGATTTTGTCCCTCATCATGTCGCCATCTCTTTAGGACCTGTATGGACAGCAGGAATGATTACAGCAACTAATAAGTCTTTCAGTGTATATATGGACATGTGAGTATAGTTTTACAGTAAAAGCGACTCAAACCTATCCTTTAGAGTTTCTGACTTTGGAAGATGGGGGAGCTGCTTGGGTTCACAATTACTGACTGAACTCCCCCTGACTGTAGAGGTGAATTTTTTTTATTTGAGTTATTTTCTTCTATTAGTGTTGCGGGCCTTTCTTTGACATCTGTGCATCCAACCCTCTTATCTCTTCATGAACTCCCGTCTACAGTTAGGCCAGACTAATCCAGATCACTTTCCCAAAGCTGCTGCTCCTAAAAGGGATTACAGCGGTTAACCTATCGCTTTAGCTGACTCTCCTCCGAGCCAGGTCTGTCTGCTTTACTGACTCCACTTTCATCGGCCCAGCAGCAGGAGCAGTGAGCCGCCTTGCCAGCAGCTGATCCCATTGCCTCTCAACCAGATGCCAAGGTGCTCCACGAACACCTCAGAGGACCAGAGCACCGATCAGGATGCAAACAAGACTCACAGATAAAGCCATCGCAGCACGCTATTGGACTGCTGTGTTAATTTGACCACAGCGACCTCTGACCTCCCCTGCAACTGAGACTCAAGTGTTGTTTAAAGGAAGAATGAAGCTTTTGAAAAGGCTATTTGAACCCAGTGATTTACTTATTGTCCTACTCTGTGAGATCAAAAGGCTTTAAGTCGCTTCGCAATCGTTTATCACAGCGCTGGATGTAAACTGATGTCAGCTGCTGTGTATTAATGACAGGATATTATCCCCACTGATGGGAAATGTATGCTAATGGCTGTAACAGTGTATATGCTGTGATAAGTAGACTCCTAAAAAGATATTAGCAGTTAATGGTCCCTTGCTGTATTTGTGTCATTTTCTTTGAATGAAAGCCTTTGTGTGTTAAACTTTGAAGGACAAAGCAACTTTCTGCTCAAAGCCTATCTCTCCTGAGTTTAATTTAAGAGGAAATGAATGTTTGGCCCTTTTCGATTGCTTCCTCCAGATTCTTATCCCTGTAAAAACAAGAGCGGCAGGGATTGTGGCTGTTTGCTGGCTAGCTGCTGTTACATTACCTGGCAAGTAAAGGGTTATTCTCCACCACTGGCTAACGTTACATCATGACCGCCATTGTTGGCAGACACCACTGTGAGTTATATGACTGACAGCACAATAACTGGTTCAGCAGGTGTATCAATTGGATTAAGGCAAAGTTGATTTGGCCACAAATATCTCTCGGTGACAGCTCGGTGCAGATTGCAGCTTCGATCAGCAGGTGGGATTTATTTCAAGCTTCAGATGCAGGAAGTATAGATAGATAGATAGTAGATAGATTATACTTTATTGATCCCAAGCTGGGAAATTACAGAAGTAGTAGTAGAAGTAGGGCCATTGCATAGAGAGGCAGTAAAGGTGACACTGTTTGTTTTTCTCTGGGCCACATGGACAAAAGCTGGCCCAGTGACCTTTAGCTGTAGCTGGCTATCTGATTGGCTGCAGTGTGTGTGTGTGTGTGTGTGTCTCAGTGAGGGTCACATTCAATATGAGGATGCCTCTGGTTTCTTCCAGGGAGAATGGTGCCCTTTGTCCCAGAGACCCCAGGGACACGGGTCATGTGAGTGGAGATTGAGGAGTTAGTGAGGTTGTATGGGCGCTGTCCTGTTGACTAGAGGACCAAGGTACCGTTGCCAGATATTAAGCATCCACCCCTTGATCTCCAGTCCCTCCTGATTTTTAACCGAAGAAGCAATAGAGGCCTGAGCAAGGGAATGAACGGGAGGCTTTCATTCAACCTTTTATCTCTCTCCGTCTCTATGCATGTCTCTGTGAGAGGCTGCTGTCTTCCTAAGCCTGTCCATCACAATAAGCCTTTTGATTCCTTAATGACGGGGGAGGCAAAAGGAGGAGGGGGGGCATAAAGTAACTTGAAAGGGGGATGAAGTTTGAAAAAGCACCTGTAATCTGTCTCAGAGGCTGGTAAGAGAGAGAAAGGTGTGTGTTGTCTCATAGATTTCAGTGTTTGTGTTACTCCTCTGGTAGCTTAAATAGTGATCTGTGTATGATACAACAATCTCCCATTCAGCTATGTGTGTGTGTGTGTGTAAGTGAGCAAAAACAGCCTCTATAACATCAAGGACAAATCAATTAGAAAAGGATTATGGGATTGAGATGCGTGAGAGCTCTCAGACTACACACTGAAGAGGAATCGGTGAGGAAAGTGAGACGCTTGTCTGTGGGTCTGAGCTAGCAGACAAACAACAGAGCCAACAGAGTGTATTCTAATATCAGTTTTCACAGTGCCGAGATGAGGGGGCAGGACTGACACTGAGGCTAAATGCAGGTTTGATCGAGGGTTCGGATAGCTTGAATTGTCCCCGTGCAAGCAGAAGAGGCATGTCATTAAAAAGGCATGTAAGTAGTTTATTCTTTTGCGCAGTTGGAACACATTCTCCATATTATTTATGACACTCTCAAGCATTACAACTTGACAATCTCATACACTTTAACATCATAAGTAAACTCGATTGGTCATGAACAACTTGATGCTTCAATATGGGTTTGCATTCAGTACGATATAAACTTTGCAATACATAAATAACAATAACTGTGCTTCTCATATTAATATACACATTCAGTACATAAATACATGTGTACAGTGACACAGCATAGAAATATAACTTGATGCCCTATGAAACAATGGAAAATATACAGATTCCTTGCTCGATCATCACAGTAAATCTTGCTGGAAAATTGCACAGATCTCTCACTAGAATACATAACAAGTCCTCCTGAATAAATGAGCGAGAACTCAGTGGGGTGTAATTCACAGTCGTTAACGTTCAGTGCATCCGAGACCCTGTAATAAAAGCCATGAACACAGTCACATAAGCTACTGAACTTCACGCGTCAAAAATGGGAAATGGAGTGCCTGAGGTGTGTGTATGAATTTTGGCAAGCAACAGTTTAGTGTGTGCAGCTTCACTCCAGCAGCCATGTACTATACATGTAGCTCATAATAAACATCTGAAACATCAAGACATTCATGCATGTTGGATTCATGCAAGTATTTGAGACACATGGAAATAATGATATTGGTTTGAAAAGAGAAGTGACATTTTATGGTTGGTTTGGTTGTTGCTCCAAGCGCCGCAGATGCTCCCTCTTCCCTCTGATACCAAGCTGCTACCTATGGCTGCCACTTGCTTTATGAGCAACCATTAGCATTAGCATCTCTGCCTCTTCAACAATACCTTCTAAATCTGGGAGGAGCCAGACTGTAGCTCTGCTCTCAGAACAGCATGCAGTTGTTCCTGACGAGAAAGGCCAGACCATACACCCCTCCCCCTCCCCTCCTCTCCCAAACCAACTGCTGACTGAGTGGCTGCGCGGGGTTCACCTGGCGGCCGCGCTGTGTGCTCCTGGACTTGATAGAAAAGCCAAACTGCTGACTCCTTTGACCGCTGGCTTTGAAATGGAGCTGGGTTTCTGTGACTCAGTTCTGCTATTAATAGCTCCATGCTGTTCACATGCCCCACTGAGAACAACACATCACGTGCCAGGTCATGGGGCTGACATCGGCACTCAGAGCGCAAACCATCGGCAACTCACACTGACATTAGCAGAGACTAAATTTACCTTGACATTAGACAAGGGGGATGAGGTCTAAAGTGTACGATAATGTGTGTGTGCTGGTGTTTATAGGGTGATGCATGAAAAATGAGGGCATAACTGAGGGATCTGGTGTCGAGTTGGAATTCAGTTGTCATTTTGAGTGCTTGGTATACCTGCTGTATGGCACATTCATAATGCTGAAATAAGACCTACTGCTTCACTATGCATGCATGAACGCTGGTCGAACCCTTGCAACACCTTTCGTAAGGCATTCCTTGAACATCTTTGTCATTGGTGTTGCAAGGGAGGAACACCGGGTGAGTTATGCCTGCACTACGACGTGGTCGATCATCTTAGCAACCATGCGATGAAGATGTTATAAACCAGGGTTCAGCTGAGGAGTGATACAGAACTTATTGTGTTCATGGATGTCGCAGTGCAGTATGGGATGCCTCGCCTCTAGTTGGGTTGGGACAGTCCCAAGGCTGTGGCGATGGCGGCCACAAGGAGGGTGGAGCTGGCTAACATCACTGCGCCTCCCGACCGGAACACCTGACGACCGTTTAGGGGCTGGACCGGCCTGAAGGTCCCCACCATTGGCTTCCCATCTGGAAACTTGAGCTCAGAGAACGCCTGCAGCTGAAGGAACAAAAGATTAACACAACGTTAGGATCTAGTTTCTCAGGGGAGATCATCAAGGTATGATTGGTCAAAATCTCCCATCATGGGCTAGATTTTCTAATGCCTCAAAACAAAGCCAAGAGGAGGTGCAGAACCAGTGTGTAGTGCACGGTATACGCAGGTATATAAAACATACCTATTTTCAAATTTTCAGTATTTCGCTAGGCATTGGGTGTACCCACATCTAAACCCCATCTGATGCGCATCATTCAGTGGTGTTATGTGAGATGATTTTTTTCACCTAGGATGGCAAAGGCATGACATAGCTGTCCAATTTTCATGAGTGGATCTAGTAAGGAATACTTATATACTTGCTCAAAATGCATGAATATATAGCTGTCTAGTGTCTAATGTTAATTTAATAATGATCATTACTCCCTCAAGTCAAGCAGCAGATGTTAAGTGACAAAGTGCAAAAACTACTGGCCCATTTTGAGCTAAATGTGCAAGAGTAGTTTTACATGTCACTGTTTATAACATATGGTGTATCCTTTGCTGGAGAGGCCGCTTTAAAAAAAAGAATTGGGGTGTAAATTAAGGGTATACCCTATTTTCTTAATGTGCAGAAGTCTGGTTTTCTCTATGACAATTTACAATATGGTATAGTTATTTTGGATTTTTTTCCCCCAATGACCCCTAAAATAAACTGCCTACCACCACTTTAATGGAAAATCAGAAACACTACGTTGCAACCAAAACCCAAAAACATAATTCCTTTAAATTTTCAGGCCTTACCTGGTCCATGCTCAGAGGGATGGGATTCTCAAACAGAGTCCAAATCACAGCTTCAGTGCACCCTGGGGTGGTCAGAGAACCCTTATAGCGGTAGTAGGTGGTCAGATTCTGCTCAGATGGGATCAGTTGTGCCAGGGAGATCGGAAGCAAAGTGGTATTGCCATCTGAAAGCAGAAAAGCCACAGATGAAACGTTAGCAACACCGCTCTGCAGCCACGTTTTAGTTGGTTCTATTGAGCGTTAATACTTACTTGTAGCTTTGATGCTTCGCAGAGTATTGATGATGGGGTCATACTTTCGGTTTGCACTATTGGACCTCTGAAATTAAATATACACGTCAGCAATGTTTCATTTCAGCTTGATGTCTGTTCTGTAATAGTAGTTTGATTTCAACAATACATTCAAAATTGTTACCTCGTAGAAAAACCCAAGGACTGCAACTCCCTCTGGGTCTGATAGTGCTGTTGTCAGATCAGTGTAATGGTGCTTCATGTGAACAATGTGCAGCTGGAGAGAGAATATTACTGATGTTACCACTTTTTCACAAGGACAGTTTTACAGTGTGTGTTCAATCTTATTGTTAATGGGACCAACAAAAAAGTCACGATTTTATCAGTTTGCAGCTGTTGCATAATTTGTAGAGCAGATTTCATGCTCTAACAATGGTAGCAGATACCTAAGTTTTCAGTGTGAGTTAATCACCTCTCGTGAAAAAGGGAAATTTAAAAGCCCAGTCAGTTTTTCTGACCCTTTAAGGGGTAAGTCTGGTGATTTTTATATTTTTCCTGTTCCTGTACAAAATCCAAGAAAAAACAAAACAAACAATGAATTGATTCTATTGACATTATATGTATCCAAAGCCTGACATATCCTTTTCCTTTATGCCACAAGAGCTCCATTGTTCAAAAATTTAAAAAAAACTATTAAAAACACATCAGCAGGCCACACCGTTGCACTGGCTGACAGGTTCCTTCAATACTATGAACACTGTCAACCCTTCATGCACCCTTCTGCTGCCGTAAATACACACACTGTGGCAGAAAGTTTGTTTCAAACAAATGCACTATTTTTATAGTATTGAAGTAAGATTTGAAAGCCGACTAACACACTTCTAATGAGATTAGCTGACAATAGGAAGAATATAGATTATTGTCAGTTTTACACTTAAATGTACATTATATTCAAATGTTTTAAAAGTTTGATTTATAGAGAAAATTTGTAGTTTTATTATGCTAATTCAGATTATTGGTGTGTTTTCCTCTAAATGTGTTCATGTGGATTGGGGATTGTGTTAATAAAGATGTCAATCATCCACTGTCATTCTCTCACAACTGACCATGCTAGAGACAGGCTGTGTCTATGATTTGTAGATTAAGGTGAAGATACCTCCATGGGATACTGCTCCCCATCGATGGTGTGTTCCGAGCCAGGCCCTCCATTGTTGCCCCAGTGCAGGTGGAACTGCACAGCCTTGTAGCTGGTTGGCAGGCCTCCACCTGAGATGGTGCTTAGGTGAGGAACTCTAACCTGAACTGGAGTGGACACACACAAAACATAAAGAGTTCACGCAACAGCTTCAAAGTGGTGATGGCTATATTTGATGTTAAATGGAAAATGTGCTCACCCGAGTGTCCGTTGTTCTTGATTGTGCCTCTGAAGATCTGCTGGTAGTTATCAAACTGGAAATTGGTCAGTCGCTCATCTTTCAAAGTCTTTCTGGTGACAACGTTGATGGGCGACTGGTATTTCCCTGCACAGTCGCTGTTAGCCTGGTTCCACTTGTCTGGCACTAAAACAAGAAAAACACCCAAGTTAAACAAGTTGGACTGATTGCTGTCTGTTCAATAGTCTCTTTGATACATTTCAGTTCAGTTTCAGAGGTCATAGCACTGAGACAGCACTTCTCATGCAGTTCTAGTAATATGATCTGTCTTACTGAAGTTAAAAACTGGTCTCAGAATCTAACCTTAGTTAAACTCCAGTATATAAGAATCTATTATCACAGGTTCAGACTGTTGGGTTCTAGTCTAATTTATTTCACACTTGTCTTCATTGCCAGAAATATCAGTGTCACATTTGATTAAAGGATGAATCTTCATTGAAAAGTGAACCCCTAAAGCTCGTATGGGATTGGCTTTCTGACTTAGTTATCCCACACGAGCCTGAGTGCACCCTGAGACCCTCTGGTAGGTCTCTTTTTAGGTCAGGCATTTTCTAAAATTGGTTTATTCTGTGCTTTTACTGTATCTGTTCATTTTGATTTAATTAGATGAATTGCTCTTTATTTTCTTGTAGATTGTATTTTACTGCACTTTACATTTGTTGGTTTTAAATCTTTTATGAAGCACGTGATAACTTGCTTTTGTTTGTGCTATAGAAATAAAGTTATTATATTAATAAAAATAAGCTTACCATTGCACTCATGATCACAGGTGAACTGTGACTGGTAGCACCAATCTGAAACACAAGAAATTAAATCATTTTAGTTAAGACAAAGGTCCTATTGACAAGACGCTCCCACACTTGTACCTTGAGAGTTGAGCAAATAATGTAAAGAACATAAACACACACACTTGATGCCAGTGACAGTGTCAGTCAGTTCCTTGCATTGTTAGACTGTTTACTTGTTTATCAACAAATGCTATTTTTTCTTTACTGCAAACAGTGGATTGTTCTCCTATTGGTTTAAGTCAGCTGTTATTCCCGGCCATACAAAAACCCCTAATACACAGGAATTGTCTTCCTATTCACAAAAAAAATGGTGTTTGTGCTTTATCTTTCCGTGCTATCAGAATAAACACAGAGCCAATCTCTTGCATCAGCGAGGTCCCATTCTCACATGTTTGTCCGAGGGTTTATTAATATTTCACAATTGGTTTGCATGTTTCCACCTCATGCTCAGAGACAAATATCTGCTGCTATCTCACAAATCAAATATTTATGAAAAACACACATGCCATTGAAAAAATACAGGGGAGGGTCTCCCGCTCTGTTGTTAGACTGGTATGAGGATTTCACTCGATGTTTGTGAAGGAAGTCAGAGCTTGGTTTCTTTGCCATGTTGGTAAGCCATTTCCTCCTGCCCCTGCATGATAATGGGCACTGAAAATAAACCAAGCAAGGGGGCAAACATTTGGGGGAGCTCAGATTGTTCACATGAACCATCATTCGCCATACTGCTCCCAGTTAATAAAGAAATGCTTGTTTCGTTGATTTCTTTTTCTTTACAATCTTGTGTGAGTGGAGCGTGGACCTTGCAGAAGGAAAAAATCTGACAACTCAGAAAATTTGAATTCCTCTGTGACCACAGCCGTGCTGAAGGTATTAAATGATTAGGATTCCTTTCTGACTTTGACTCACTTTCATCTGCTACATGCTCTGACAGCATGGGTGGTAGCTGTGAAAATGTGTCACTTTCCGTCTGCACAAATCTGCATTCAGGCCGCAGCTAATACCAGTTTTATCATTAAAGCATTTAGGACCACAGCTGTGTGAGTCCTATAAAATATACCAATTATGATAACTGTGATAATAAAGCTTGTCAGTAATTGGTCAAGACCTTGATAGAAGATGCTCTTTATAGGACACAACAGTGGCTGCCTAATAAAATTGCTCCAAAAAAAAGTTTAATTTTGGCCAAATAATGTTTGCTCCTGTTTTGTCTGTTTTTTTGGGGTGGAAAGTAACCAAGTGCATTTACTTGAGTACAGTGCTTAAGTACAATTTTGATGTACTTTACTTGAATATTTCCATTTTGTGGAACTACACTACATTTCAGAGGGAAAATGTTGCACTTTTTACACTGCATTTATTTGGCAGCTAGAGTTATTTAAACACAATGTTTCCACAGGAAACAGATGATGAGCTTATATAATAGGATTCAACTAACTGACATTTTACAAGCAGTTGTAGTTAGTTCGTTAACTACATTCCTATAACCAGAAATAGCAATCTTTTCATATGTATCATTATTAATACTATGAGGAGCCATTCTTCTGCATAGAATACTTTTATTTTTCATACTTGAAGTACTTTTGGCTAATAATACTACTTCTACTGAAGTTTTACTTAACTTAGTATTTTGACAGGGTGATATTACCGGCTGTAATAGTAAAGTGGAATCAGTGTAACTCCTCCATCACTGTCTGTGAGTAGAAACATCTTTTTTTATGGCTTGCAGTCACTGTTTTTATCTCAGCCAATCAGATTTCTGTCCGCACAATTCTTGCCCAATCGGCGCTTGGCTTTGATCTTTTGTGCTGCGCGGAGCGAATGAACAATATGAATGGGTTTCAATGGATCTGAGAGCAAGAGAGCAAACTGAGGAAACTGTAGAGATGAAAACAAAAGGCGGCAAAAGGAAAACAAATAGGCCACGTCTGCCTGCACGTCGACCGGAGTGAAAACGTAATGTGAATAAGGGCTGACACGGAGACGGATCTTTTCATGCCATTGTGTTGTTAGCGCCAAGCAGAGCCAGACATAAACTGTGAGCGTGTAGACTCTGCGTTTCACACAAACACACGGTTCAAAAGAATAAATTGAGACCATGCCATGCAATGCCAATCCGGTTCTTGCATCCCTCCATGTGCCAAAACAGCTCAGCGACTGCAGCTTCCCCCAACAAAATGAGGACGAGTCCAATTTCACTTTTTGGAATTCGAATTCACTGCAAATTAGAAAAGAGAGAATTTCTTTTAAAATAAATAAAACTTTTATCCCCTAGGGGTCTGTTCATCTAGCTGCGTTCATCTACCGACAACTATTCAGACAACGCGCCGCTGCATCAGGGTGCCTGTGAGCGCAGGACGCGCCTCCTCCGCTCTGAATGAAGGAGCGCACCGAGCAGCGCCAGTGACAGTAGTTGGACTGGTGCTGTATCTCAAACAAAAATAACTAGAAATACACTATAACAATTGAATTTTATCACAGCAAAAAAAAAGATAATAACCCCCAAATAAAATATTTGGAATTCATGAGAAAAACACATTAGGGGTTAACTGTGTTAACTCATGAATAGTTACTGATCGCACCAACCAGAAATCCTTTAGTCCTTTCAGTCAGTCATTATTTACTGCTCATTTAGTTCATTAGAGTCTCGGTGCCAAATCTTTTCTCTGAGAAATTAACAACTCATAATCAGCCGCTGGGAATTTGGAGACATTGGCGGCGCGCAGCTCGACGCGTCTCTCTGCGGCAACCGGGGAGCGCAAACGTCTGTCATTGGCTCAATGTGGATCTGAGCAGGTGCACGAGAGAGAGAGAGAGAGAGAGAGAGAGAGGGAGAGAGAGAGGTCCGAACTACAGAGGCACTGAGGGAGGCTCAGCTCGGTCCGATCTGCCTGCTCCTGATCCAGGATCTGTGTATCCTACCCTGCCCTTGAACAGGGAGCTCAGTGCCGCAGATGAGCCCGTCGGACACATGGAGGAACGTCCGGGGCCACATCAGTGTGATGGACGGGGCAGGTGTGTGTGGAGAGAGCGTCGCGCAGGGGGTTTTGGGGCTGTTTTGGTGCGGGGGGAGCCTCTCTTTCATCTGATGAGCTGTGGCTCTCTCTTTTCCCCCTCTGTCGAACATCTTTCATAATCTATTTTTGGATTTTTACATCCCTGGGATTCCGCAATGTATCAACTTTCTAACTGAATAAAGTGAGTGGCACGGTTGTAAAGATAACTGGTAAAAAAAACTTCACCCTGCTGGTCTCAGTGGGAAGCTCTCTGCTGTATCACCTCATATTTATTGTTCAGGACAGATTCATTCCGATACTGATAATCTATCAATTGCATGCTTGGATATAAAATGACCTCACCGATGTTGATTAGAAATATAATAAATAAATATCAAAGGACAGGCTGACATATTGCAGGAAAAAAATGTTTCCTGATAATATTAGAAGCAAAATCTCATTATTTCATTAATTAGTCCCTTTCGTTGACAATATCTGTACATTAAGGACCTGCTCAGTGGCAAGAAAAATCGAATCTAAATAAAACCACCAGTTGTCTGACATGATTTGCAGCTATGAATGAAAGCGGACTCACCCCCTGCTCCTGTGCAGATGGTCCAGAAGGATGCCAGGACAGCGGGCAGGACGAGCTGCTGCATTTTGGAGCGTCTCTTAGTCGACAGAGGGAAGGCAACACAATGACTTGTTTTTTCAATGTGATCGCATTCTTGCAGGGGGTCTCATACTTATCTATCACCATACCCTGACAGGAAAGAAAGAGTGGCCCCTCCCCCTTCGGGCATCGCCTCTAATAAAGCTCTCCACTGATAATCGCTCCAACGGGGGGGGGCTGTCAATGCAATCATTATTGTCATTGGGGCTGATAGGCAAACACTTCCTGGTGATCTGGCAAGTAAATGTTGCACAGCGGGAAATCGGATGGAGTTAATCATCAATGCGGGCAGCTCAGGGCTCCACAGGTAACTTAAAGGGGGCCCTCAGGGGACTGAGTGTGCTGAGCTCTGTGACAGGGACATTATTATCTTATTTTCCCTCTAGTTCCTTTACACTGAAGATTAGAAATATCATTGTGATCCACACATCAGTACCATACATTGTGTCTTCTCCATCAGCTTGTTCCAGATCTTTATTGAAGTTGTATGAAAATAATTCAAACCCGAGACTCCAGGTTGTTCATGCCTGTAATATATTTAAATTCATTAATATTCTACAATTAAAAGTTAATACCTAAAAGTGTTAGCAACAAAATGTATCAAAAATAAAAGTACTGATTGCGCAGAATGGCCTCTGTCAGAGATCATATTTTATTAGATCATTACTATTGATGCATTAATATGTAATCTAGTGTGTGAAGGTGGGGCTAATTATAACTAATCTATAGGTATGGGTCATGTTTTAAAACCTGATCATTTGTTTTAATCTGTCAGATAAATGTAGTGAAATAAAAAGCATGCTTAAAATAGAAACACACACAAGTACCTCAGAATTGTACTTAGGCTAGTTACTTTCCACTGCTGTATCTTTCACACCCGTGCTTTCCAACCTGGGGTGTATGATTGGTAAGAATTATAAAAACAATATAATACAGAGAAGTGTATAAAAAGTGCCCTAAACAGGAAATCTGCTCAAAATTCATCCAAATCACTAATTTTTACACAAACTTCTCACAGTCACTGAGTTCATTATTTGGGTTCATCGTACAGTTTTGAAAATAATATGAAATGTCCATAAAATATGTCACTTAAACAGTGGTTGTTAATTTACTAAAGGATAGAAAAAGGGGTCCCTTAAGGAAAAGTGTTCTGAACCACTGTTATACACAATGTTACTCAAATGCAGACTGACATATTTGGTATCTTACAATAAGGTTTGGGATATACACAAGATTTCAAAATAAAGTTCAGTGGTTTTTAACAGCATGGGCTGGTAATAACTGTCAGAACAGTGAGGTTTAAACACAGATAGACTGAGCAATAGACAGACAGGAAGATGCTCTCTCTCTCTCTCTCTCACACACACACACACACATTCCTTCACCCTTCATCTAGATGCACATCTAAAGAGGATATCAGGTAAAATCTTTAAAGAGGTTTATTTTCCAGCCCAGTTCACTCTGTCTACAAAACCTGTCCTGTCAGTGCAAAGCTCTGCAAAAAACCTCAACATCTCTTTTCAACTTTTCCATAGAAAAGTTGAAGCTGTCACCTTTATTTTCATTCCCTGAGTGGAAACCACGAATACCCTCCACCTGAATTATTGATCATGCTGAGTACACTGAGGGACATTGGCAGAAGTTCCTCCTAAGAAAACAAGAATCAGCTTGCGTTGCCATTCTTGAAGACTTTTGCCGGTAGTGGGTAGTGGGCATGATGGTGTGTGTGTGTGTGTGTGTGTGTGTGGCGTTTGTGTGACGTTTATGGGGCAACATAATGTGATGTACAGCATAATAAAGTTAGTTTCATTTCCCTTGTACTACACTAATTTAACCTCACCATAAACTCTCATTCGCTGAAAGGAAATAAGAGAATAACTTTACTCATCCTTTACCAGAGAAAATAAAATGGAGAAGTGAAGAAATCCATTACTTCTGCAATTACGCAAAGATTTCTGATTTGGTTTACTGAAAGTGCTGAGCTTCTTGCAGAAGTACCACCTTGTGTTTCTCTTGATAGAAAAGCTCCATCTGGTGGACACATGGAAGGAAAGCAGCAGTTCTATTAATGTGTTACCCAGTGCTGGAAGAAGTTTTCAGATCCTTCTAAGTCCCTCTCAACTCAATAATGTGTTTTGCTTCTTGTTACTTCACTGGGTTTGAGCCTCTCTGTACAGATTGACGTATTTGCAGTTTGACATTTATCTGCTGATGAAGGACAGTTTCTCTTTGCTCGCCTGAAATCTGAGTCAAACACATGACTGTATGAGCAGGAATTTATGAAATCACAGCTACTTAGGAAGTCAATCAACAAATACAAAACAAAATACAACTTACACAAGTATGATGCAGAAACCTCAACCATCCTGTGCACAAACTCTGAGAAAAGACTTTACAGTGAAGGAGGAAGCATCTTGTACCCAGTTGTTAAACTTTTGAAATGAACCATAATTGACTTTTCATATATTCTGGATTCTGGAAGTAATAATACAACAATGTAAAAAAACTTAATAAGTAAAGAGTATAACAAGTAAAGATGTGTATTATGCAGAATACCCCCTATTCCCCATTTTCCCCCTACAATAATCGTGTGATAAAATCATTCATTATATCACAGGATTATTGTTAGCAGTGCATTATCACGTAAGCAGCATTTTAGTGTTGTAGCTGGTCAAGGTGTTTATAGTTTACAGTTCTTGACCTTTGTGTTCTGTCACTTTCAGTAAAACAAAATACTTTTTGTTTTTAAACCTATGAATGCTGAGCTCCTTCCTGCGTTGACATGTTTATCCTTAACTTACCTTCTCATCTTATGTGTTTTTGTCATGTATGATCTTTGCCCTTTTTTTTTTTATTGTGAAGCTCATCGAGTCTCCGCCTTTTCGGTGAAATGTGTTACATAAAAAACTTTCACTGGTTCTGAAGGAACAACTTGTTCCATCAGTTACGTTCAGTTCAATCACTTCCGTTACTTGTTGTTCCTTTCGTTATGGGAATCTGTGAACCGTTGTAAATGTTTTTTTTTTCCTCTCATCCAGTCAACTTCTAGTGTTTACCAGTACATTTAGCGTGCTTTTGAGCGTCTTAATATCATAATATTCAGATTTATTCCAATTCTTCAGCCTGATTTACTGGCAGTGACGCTAAAGCTGGATCCTTTAGGACAGTTAGGTCCTCGTGATGAGACCAAATTCAATTGTCACATCTGGAATCACCTCTAGGCTCCCTGAATGCTCAGCCAGAGCTACATGCAAAGAAGCAAGCTTGGAAACAGATCCATGATATAATCTTTTATTTTAACCCATGGGATTTAACTTTTACAGTGCATTTCTTTACAACAATTATTCATTAAGTGACAGGTTTTAGCCACCACTACGGATCAGATAACTATGTATGTTACATTTCTGAGTTCCTCTTAAAGATTTTGACTTCATGAACACTGTGTGAAAAAATCCCAAACATTAGACAATGGATAACCACACAGGTTATAACTAATTCATCCAATCATCCATTGAACTGGTTAGCCTTGTTATCAAACAGAACTGTCTGTTAATCTTTAGTTGTCTCAGTGTTATCAAGCAGCTAACTATCTGTACCATTTAAACATACAGAGAGGTGGCCAATTAGAAACCTGCTGCCATCCGTAAGAAAGAAAAAGGCTTTAAAAATAGACAAAACAAAATATGGCACTATTGTCTCAAGAAACAACCAGTAGACACAAACACATTTCTTTTTAAAGGGGACTGTGGCCAAACTCCCCTGAACAGAACAAGAAACTCCAAGCACTTGGTTCAGTCTTCACTGCCAGATAACAATCTGAGGAGGAGTCATCAGTCAGATGGACATCAAGCATTCATTCACAGACACTGAGCAGAAAGACCTCCCTCTGTCACCTCGCAGAACACCCACAGGACCTTCAAATGACATTTTCTTACACCAGAAGAAGACACTGCAGAAATCTGCCGTCTCCCACTCTTACCGTCTTCTCTTTCTCTTAACGCATCAAGCACACTTCCCACAAAACACACAACACGCAGCATTGCACCGATCTGTCCACACACCCCTCAGAATGTTGTCCCTAATGTTGCAACATGGCTATACTGGAGAAAAGCATCGATAAAGACGGAACCACATTGACTGTGCATATACATAATTTTGAAAACACATTGCAGCAATGAACACATATACGACCCACTAAATGCACATGAACATAAAGTCGATCCAGTTACCCATTACATATTACATTCAGGCTCCAAGAAAAAGATGCGATGACAAAGTAAACAGCAGATTTCTCCCTTTTGCTCAAGTTTGGTCTCAGATTCCCTCGAATACACAACAGCTAGTAGTGCACAAAATAAGAATACAAAATTAGACTTTTAAATACTGTAGCAGCAATTCTTTTCTTTTAAAGTTGAAAGCCTCCAGTAGTACAGGTAAAGGCTTTGGAGTCCCCGACACGTGGAAGGGTGAGCGATTGTCCTCTGAAGTGCGAGACAGTGTCTGTAAGGAGGGTGCAGGTGTTTGGTACTAAAGGTGGGTGACTCTGCTGGGGTGG